CCTCTAGTTATCCATCGGTACCTTGATCGGATGTTTGATTGCTGGACCTCTCGCCAATAGATTCGGACGCAGAACATGTATCCCACCTTGGAGTATGGTATTTTGTGTTGGTGTTGTTGCACAAATGGCTGTTGGTCCTGGTGATTGGGTAGGAATTGCAATGGGAAGATGGTGCGCTGGTTTGGGAGTTGGCGGATTATCGGTTCTTGTTCCAATGTACATGGCTGAGACTTCCCCTGTCCCTGTAAGAGGAGCCGTCATTTCGTGAGTATTCCTCTTTGATTATATCCCATCTTGAAAAATCGATCTCGTATCAAAGCACTAAGGGGCGCGTTGGCTAATCAATTGAATCGCAGATGTTATCAACTCTTTATTACTATCGGAATCTTCACCGCTGATTGTATCAATTATGGAACCGAAGCATTTAGCAGCACAGCATCCTACAGAATTCCTATGGGCGTTGGATTTATCTGGGCAATTATCCTTGGTGTTGGAATCCTCTTCCTTCCAGAGACTCCCAGATACGATTTCAATCATAACAATGGCACAAGGGCTCGAACCACCATGGCTGGCTTCTATGGCGTCGACGAAAGTCACCCCATGATTGAGACCGAGGTAGCCGAAATCGAGAAGGTTCGCATGGCATCCAGCGGTAACCACCCATGGTGGGAAGCCATAACCGGCCCAAGAATGCTTTACAGAGTTTCTCTCGCAATGGGATTACAAATGTTGCAACAACTTACCGGTGCGAATTACTTTTTCTATTATGGTACCACTATCTTTGCTGGCGTTGGTATCAAAAACTCCTACGTCACTGCTATGATTCTCGGTGGTGTAAACGTTGGAGCTACTTTCTTCGGTGTCTATATGGCTCGTCACTTCCGTCGTCGCGAATCCTTATATATCGCTGCTCTATGGCAAACTATGTGTTTCCTCATCTTTGCATCTGTCGGACAATTTTTGTTCAAGGATGCTCCAGAAGGAAGTGCCACAGCTAAAACTGCTGGAAGTGTCATGATTGTCTTTGCTTGTCTCTTCATCGTTGGTTTTGCCAGTACATGGGGACCTCTTGTTTGGGCATGTATTGGTGAAATGTTTCCATACCGATATAGAGCTGTCGCAATGGCTTTCGCTACTTCGGCGAACTGGTTCTGGAACTTTATGCTTGCATTCTTCACCCCATTCATCACAAACGATATTCAATATGCATACGGATACGTCTTCGCTGGATGTAATCTTGCAGCTTTCTTTGTCGTTTTCTTCTTCCTAGTTGAATCAAGCGGAAGAACTTTAGAAGAAGTTGATGCCATGTATTTGTTGGATGTTAAGCCTATTGGAAGTCATGCATACGTCTTTGATGCTGCTACGATGGCAACTTTGGGTACGGATATTAATACCGATGCCATGAATCTGGAGACCAGAAATGGTAAGCTTCAAAAAGTTAATGAAGCTGGCCAAGGTGGAGTCTTGCATGATGAGGGACTTCCGGCGGGAAATCAGTCCCCCAAATATTAAATTCGGGTGATGGAGGGAAACCTCGAAAATATGAGCATTTTACTGTTGGGTAGTGTTCGGATGAGTATGATGAGATGATATTCTTATTTTGTATATTATCCCCTTTATATGGCTTGATGGTTAATGTTTTTTGCAATGCATAGCGTGGGTTGGATTGGGTAGAGTTTTTACATTTGTATATATAACATCACGTCGTTAATTGATTAATGAATAAAGACATCTTACGTTCAACAATTATTCCAAAGACTTTTCCTCACATTTCACAAAATCTAGCATGTGATTGCCGTGCGTCCGAAGTAATTTTGGACCCGAGTTTGAGAGAAAGGGGGCTCGGAAGTGTAAGTTTAATTTGGGATAGCATTGATTTCTCCCATTAAGGTCGGCTTTCTTTCCCCCTCATTACAATTTACCACGCATCACCTCGCACCTCGCACCTCATGACTTACATTACCACTCGACGTCTCGGTACATTCGGGCAACATTTATGGCAACAATTCTTTGCCAGGCATCGAACAGGAATTTTTATGCTTTGATTGACGACCCCATCTCCATCTATTCTTGCCCCCCACCATTTTCCCTCAAGCGTACAGGAAATCCACGACGAAAATATAAATCTGGGAGCTGACAGAAAGGAGATACAAACACTCGACAAGCAGTTAATACATATACCAAAGGAAAACATTTAGCCAAAGAAGCAACAATTTAATTCAGCAATTTTGAAATGATTTCATTCGACATTCACCTTAATTTCTGCCCCTTTTAATAAGCGCCAGCCGACACCTGGTTCTAAATTACCTTTCACCAATATGGTGGAACGATTTTATGTCTCTTTTTACAACCTCTGGTCAAATTCGTGCCATTCAACAATGTGTGTGGACTTTCCGAGACCGACTCAAAAGTTTGTAGGAGGAACATGAATATTACAAGAATTTTTTTCCTAATATGTGCGAAAGCGGGAAATTCTCCTTTATACACCCATATAATTCAATCTCATTCATCAACAAGAATGGCGCAAGTGAAGAGCGCCTTTAAGGGTGAGCACCTTGGCGCACCTTAAGTCTAATATTAAACTTCCCTCCAAAAGAAGGATCTCCCTGTTGTCGCGTTTGGGACGATCTGTTGTTTTACCAATTTTGCCTTGAGAGATTTATTACTTCCGAGTGTCTCGGACATCGAAGAAATTTGGACAGAGCGGGAATTGGAGGGATTTGTTGTTGACATGAGACTTGAGGTAAAAAGAGAGAGAGAGAAAGCGAACATTCCTAGTTTTTTATATTTCCTGCTGTGCTTGTAATACAAAATCTTGCCTCGATATCTATGCCCATAATTAAAATTCTTGGCCACCCAGTCTTCGTGCTTATTCCAAGTAAGCCTTGTCTTGGTAGATAGATAGAAACTTTGGTATATCATGACTTCATGAATGAGAGAATGCTTCATCAAGATTTACCACGGAGGGAAAAAAGGAGGTTCCAATTATACATAAAGTATCATACCCTACGATTGATAGGATTGAAATGTTGGGCATTGATTGTGTTAAGTTTTGAAGATTTACAAAAGTAATTCCTTGAAAAGATCGTCGACATCGTGCGTCGAGAGAAATTACCATCAGTACCAAAATTCTATTCGTATTTGTTGATCTTAATTTTCAGGAGTAACAAACCAAGAATCATCGTCTTCTTGATCAACCATGACTCTGAATATGGGAATATTTTGAGCATACCCAATTGACAAAAGAGTGGTAAAAATCAATGTTAATTAAACAATAAGGGGGGGGGGGGGGAAGAGGGAGGAGAGGTAGAGGATAAATAGAAAGCACCCCATCCTGATAAAATTGCTTATTCGGGACCGTCGGGCTCTAAGGTCTCAACTTCGGACCCGGGATGAGGCAAAGTATCGTGGTAGAGAAGAATAATTGATTCTCTTCTTTGATCTTATCAATCAACGGAAATCATACGATCTATTCCAATCCTTTTAGTCACATTTGTTGAACAACTTCTTGGATTTTAGCCACAACCAAGAAATTATTCCTTTGCCAACAACCAAGTTGCCACGAGCGTGCCGAGTTTGCCTTTTTTCCTGTCCCCCCGCAGCATAACACAATATAGGTAACACAGCAGTGACAATGGGTTTGCCGTAGAACCGAACCTTCTTCTTATCTTCATTCAACGTTTGGACTCTCGAGCGCAGCGAGGTCTGGGGGTTTGGGGGCTTGCCCCCATCTGAGAAAAAGATTAAAGTATAATTATATTTGTTATAAGAACACCGGTAACATAAAACGCAAACCTTTTTGGTTGGCCAGTTCGTTCGTTCGTACGTACGTGTAAGGCAACCGTAATCAGTAAGAATCATATCATAAGCCCCCCTCTCCGATCAAAAGATCGAGTATTCAACACGTAACAGCCAACGAACCAAGCATATTCAAGCCACTCTCTTGCAGCTGAAGTTTTTCGTTTCTCCGTACGAAGTACTCCATCGAGTCCATATACCTTGTGGGTTTGTCTTCTCTTTCTTGATTCAACCAATCCCATGCGCAAAATCAAATTGATCTGTCACTAGCCACTCTGAAACCCAGATGTAAATGCATCCTTATGCTATCAATGCCACTCTTATCCCGGAGTAGACGTTTATGGGTTTGCCGTGCTCCCGAAATCTCCATACAGCCGTAGCGATATGGGGCAAGATGTTCGAAGCATAAAATAGATTAGAACAAGCATGGAAGCATGGCATGGTATGGTAATGAGATTGGGTTTCACTGAAATCTACTTCAGTATGAAAATCAATTTATCGAGGGAGGAGATTTACCCTAATCTGATCTTCAATAGCCTGGAAGGTAATTAACAATATTTAAAATTAAATCATTCAAGAAATAGAATCTTGTCCCCGTGAAATGCTCCCCTTTTTATATTCTATATGATTGGCTTTGAAGCGAACAAATCTTGAAGGAAGCGCATACCTCTACATGCCCAGTATCTATCAGCTACCGACGTAACACATCCTACGAGTCTACGTATAAGATGTACAGTTAACATGTAAGGTAGTCAATTGCACCCTAGCCCTAAAGTTGCATACGATGTGGTACCATCGAAAACCCCTCCCCAATGAACTTCAACCGTCAATCCTCGTGATGACAACTTTTACGTCATGCAGACCTTTCCCATCAGCCCAACCATTCAAACCTTCGAAAATCTACCTGGGTCGTGAGTCTTCTCAGAAAAGGCTTAGAAGTTAGAACACACTTAGAACCAATAACCTTGTTAAGTCCCTGCCCTTTCTCGAGCCCTTAAAAAGCTTACTTTGTATGCCCAGGTATTCAACATCTTGGAACATGACCCCCTGTTTAAATGTTTCTCCATTTTTTAATGCACTTCTGAATCACTGCGCCCATCAAGACAACTCTCAGAGACATTCATAATAATACCTGGTAGGTACTCATAGAATCATTCATATTTGTTACTGTATGGAAACGGAAAGTAGAACTAAATTGAGCTTATTTGTAAGTGAATGATTTAATACCTGTAATTGTTATTTCGTTTGTGTTTGGGGGTTCGGATTGAATTCCCTTTCATACAATCAATCAATCAATCAGTCAATCAAGCCAACAGTCAAGAGAATCCATCTGTGAGCCAGAGCCAATAAGTGAAAACTCTCGAGTATTCCAGAATACGGTGTGGTAGAACAGGATTCATAGTTGAGCCATTGCATATTTAGGTTTCTGCATACTGCAAGCCTACACCAAACAGGAAGGAATAGAGTCAGCAACCCGTTGAACCTCACGAAAACCATTTTACATATTACTTCTCTCAATTGTCTCACTCACATTGAAGATCCTTTTATTACCTCGACCATACCTGTCTATCTCTTTACTGCACTTCCACTCTTGTTCTCCTCAAAAGAGAATACAAATCAATCAAAATGACGGGTTCATTCTGGCACAATGTCCTAACATTTCGAAGACCATCCTCATCAACTTCCTCAACTTCCACAACATCCGACTCAATAGATTCCTCCTCTAGTAGCACCCTAAATTTAAGTGTTCGCTCCAGTCATAGACTATCCCGAAAGCGACGAGAAGCATTTGGTGATTTCGATTATACCTTCGATAATGAGAGCATGAATGCGAATATGCAAGAACCTTTAGGGATGGAGAGAAATTCTCTGGGCAAGGACACAGGATTTCCGGAGCCTTTGAGCCATGGTATGTTATTGTTCTTTTTTTTCCTTCTCGATCTTATTGAGAGGGGTCATGTATGCCGAGAATCAAGGAAACAAGCTGACAATAAAATAGATCGTAATACAACACTCCCACACCCCGAAGCAGATACTTCACCCTTTGCAACCCTCGAATCCACAGAAGTTGACATTTATCGTTCCCACTCACGACTCTCCATTAGGAGACTTCATAGCAGACATAAAGGATCACATCTAAGCGTACCTTTATACGAGAGCAACGAATATACAAACGGTAATCATGTCCACGGTGATATGAAGACGATAGAAAAGGATGTCGAGAAACAAAACGATCTGGTCGACCCACCCAAAACAGTAGAAGAATTTGTGGAAATGGAGGATCGAGATGATCAAGGGTATAGACCGGGAGACAGAAGGAAGGGCGTACTCAGAAAGTTGAACTTACACAAAGTTTAGAGGAGTTTGGTAAAAAGGAATCAAGAGTTGAGAATTTGGAAGGAGAAAATTTGATGGACGCAGAACGCAACACAAAACTGGATGGGATGGGATTGATCAAGCAAGCGAGGAGTTAAATGGATTTGGAGTTCGGATATTTGAAAGGTTGATATTAGTATCCCTTTGTAATTATTTCTTTTCCTCAACAGAATCATGAAATAACTTCATTCATGGAAACAAACAGCATAAGACCCCAAACTAGCTTCCCCGATAAGTTGTATAACTGTATGGTCCCAAAAGTAGCGGAACGTGGAAATGTTCTCCTTCCTTAACTACGAAGTTGAGTTCAACGCAAGGGAAGAAAGTGTTTTCGTAACCATAATATGCGCCGGTCTCGAATCGAAGTTTCCACATGCTAGAACCCATTGGCAGATTCTGATTCTTTATTTTCCCCCCTTCAACAATCAACTCTCCGACTTTCTTGGATGTGACATTCTCTTGTTCGTTACTCCAATTAGCGATTCGACCGTCGGCATTTGTTATCGCACGAAAGATGGTAGACTCTTCGGAAAGGCAGATCAAAGAGACGTTAATTCCCGAAGCAGGTCGACCAGTAGTAGTGTCGAGAGCATGGCATGTAATTGGATCCCTTTCTGCCATTTTTGCTATGTGCAAAGTTGATGTTGATTGAGGGGTAATTTGTGAGGATATGGCTTGTAGACGTTCGTTGAAATGTTCAGAGGTGGGGTTGCGGGGCATCGACTGTAAATGGTGTGAATGAGTGAGAACGGTAGATGGAGGGTGACACGAATCTCTACTTGAGTTTGAAGGATCTTAAATAAGGGAAATGCGCCGAGTGTTGTTGAAGAATGAAGCAATAACAATTCAACGATGATTATTTTATGTTGATACAATTGATTGTAGAGAAAGAAACGCCTACCCAGTAGTGAATAAAGCTTGCCTCGCAAATCGGAGATGGCCGCTTCAGCCTTGTGTTGACGCTGGATGGGGAGGGGGGGGGGGAAGGGGGTAGAGACTAGTTATGAGCCTTGTACTTCAATTGTACTTTGGACTTTGGGACTCTTCGTCAGAAACAACACATGAATTGAAGGGAATGCGATGACATTGTTTGATCATTTGAAACTCGAGTACATTGGAATGTGAACGCACCTTGGAAAGGTGTTGACCCAATGATAAGCCTGGTACAGAGCTTCCTAGGCTAGCGAATCACATCACTTAGCGCACTGTATGTACATTTGACAACTTGCAAGAAGAAGACGTCAGAAGGCAAAAGATAATTCTAGAATTCACCAAGAACTTGGACTTTACAAGGAACTTGGGAAACGACATCGACCATCATTCAAACTTGACTTCGATTACTCAAAATCACCTTTCTCTCCTGTTCCCATTAGTCCTTCGCCATTTTTGATTTAATCTTACCTTATCATCAAATAAATTAAGGGTCTTTACCCCCGTTCATCCAATTCCCCCTCCTGCCACAATCCCTCCATAATCAAGATGTCCACCGCAGTTGTCAACACTGACGACGATCAACTCGAGCCTACTCTCCAATCAATCCTTGATCAAAAGTCTCTACGCTGGATCTTTGTTGGTGGAAAAGGAGGAGTTGGAAAAACTACAACATCATGTTCCCTAGCCATTCAACTCGCCAAAGTCCGTCGTTCAGTTCTCCTCATTTCAACAGATCCAGCACATAATTTGAGTGATGCCTTTTCGCAAAAATTTGGAAAGGAGGCTAGGCTTATTAATGGATTTGAGAACTTGAGTGCTATGGAAATTGATCCAAATGGTAGCATCCAGGAACTCATGGGACAGGCTGAGGAGGGCGAGGGACCAGCTGCGGGCATGGGTGGAATGATGCAAGATTTGGCTTTTGCTGTCGGTTCTCCTTGCCCCTACAAAATTATTACTTGGAGTGTTCATTTACTAATTCCTTTGATAGATTCCCGGTATTGATGAAGCTATGTCGTTCGCAGAAGTCCTCAAACAAGTTAAATCTCTCTCCTACGAAACCATCATTTTCGACACCGCTCCAACAGGTCATACCCTCCGCTTCCTTCAATTCCCTACCGTTCTCGAAAAAGCCCTTGCGAAAGTCTCCCAATTATCCACACAATTTGGACCTATGTTGAATGGTTTACTTGGAGCCAATGGTTCTCTACCAAATGGACAAAACCTCAGCGAAATGATGGAGAAATTAGAGGGTCTCCGCGAAACTATTTCTGAAGTAAATGGACAATTCAAAGATGAAAATCTTACTACCTTTGTTTGTGTCTGCATTCCCGAATTCCTCTCTCTTTACGAAACGGAGCGTATGATTCAAGAACTGGGCTCCTATCACATCGACACACATTGTATAGTGGTCAATCAATTACTGTTCCCTAAGAAGGGAAGTGATTGTGATCAATGTAATGCAAGAAGGAAGATGCAGAAGAAGTATTTGGAACAAATTGAGGAGTTGTATGATGAGTTTAATGTGGTCAAGATGCCATTATTAGTTGAGGAAGTCAGAGGAAAAGAAAGATTGGAGAAGTTTAGTGAGATGCTCATTACTCCATATGTTCCACCTGCTGGAGGATTGTAGATTTTCTAGAGAAAGATATATAAAGAATTGAGAATTGATACCCATATTTCATGCCAACTTGTCCGACACTTTTCCAGCCAGTTACACACATTTGTCAGACATACCTCCACTTGCTTTCATTCATGTGCCCAGTGGGAAACCAACCATACTAATGATTTGTCGCTTGCTAGTTATCTTGACCACACTTTTATGAAGATCACTCCTGATGTCTGTTTAATATGTCCTCAATTTATGTTCCAACTAGCCTCCGGATCATCGCATCATCGCATCGTCAAGATTCATCGACTTAATTCTTTCCGCTTTGTAACCTCTGTTTCTCCAATGCTACAGTGTACTCCTAAAAGGAAACTCACAACTCCGAGGACTGGAAGACAGCTAGCACTTTTGGATCTCATCACAAGCCAGCCCTTTTCATTAAAAGACCACCCCTCATCCCCCCAACGCCAATTGCCAAATGATCTTTATTCTGACCCATCAGAATTTTATACCTCCGTCGACGCTTCATGTCCATACCACGGTTTACGAGCCGAGGGTATTGTAGAATCAAACCTTACAGTTATTTATCCCTCTATTCATTAGCGTATCCATCACTCACTGGTCGCTGAATAGATTCCAAGAAGTTCGACCGGTTTTAATTCAAACACCCTCTTGAGTCTCTCCTTATCCTTATAACACAACTTCCCATTTGCCCATAATTCTCCTCCAAAAGTGTCACTAAAATCCTCCATCACCTCTTCCATTTCCTTCACACCAGCCCCATGAGGTGATTTCTTCAACCACTCGTTTTGGTCCCAATACACCCAGTCATCCCAAGCTGTATTTACACAGACCGCCCTCTTTATCCCGTCCCCTAGATATATATCATTGCCCGGTGTCCCCGCTTTACGAAGAAGCTTCATCCATCGAGAATATAACCCCCAACGTTTATCCGCATTTGGATTCATACCAGCGAAAAGTTCCTCACTTTTCCACCGCATGTCCATAGCTTCTGAGACCCTTTGCATCCATTTTACATCCATCTTAATTTCCTCGGTTCTCATGGGGTTGATTTGAACTTTCTTTAAACCACTCCATTTCCCTCCCTCGGTTCTTTCATCACGAAGACCATAGTTCCCTCCAATACTCAAAAATAACATTTCAGCCCATTTCAAGTCATCGGAGTCAGTCAAGTCAAGATTTACTTGTAGTGACTGAATATGTATAAAAGTATCGTCGCCCAAATCTCCCATGCGAAAAAGTAAATCCGCGGGCCAGATTCCAAGGCTATTGACCTTCCATAGGGAGACGATGGCTTCATTGTATAATTGCGAACAAGTACTTAAGAGACCGAGAGCGGGAAGTGAAGAGTTAGAAAGACAAATGTCGTTTTGAGGATCATAAGGGAGTATTTTATAGGTATTGTTTAAAGTGCAACGGTAAGTGACACAATTGAATGGAGTTTGAAAGGCATATTCGTATATTTCGTCTCGAATTTCTCGTGGGATATCTATCAAGATGTTGAGATGTGGTTTGAGACGCATTTTGAGCCTAGGACTTGGAAACTAGAAACTGGCAACTGGAGAACTGGGAATTGCGGAGAAGACAGAGGAGATTGCGGGGGGTCGGAGATCAAGGCTGAGGAGCTACGAGCTTCAAAGTTTAGATGAAAGTGGTGTTGTACAGTCACATATAGTGTGAGATCTGCACGTTGGATAAAGAAAAAAGTCATGCGCTACACATAGAAGTTGCAGGTGAAGAAAACGGTATTGTCAGTATCACAGCCTCTTTGTACATCACTAATTGCGCGGCTCAAAAAGTTGTGACCAGCAACGGTAACCCACATTTCGGATATTCTCCGATGATTTTCACAAGGGTCGAGTAAGTGAGTGAACGAGTGAATAAATTGATCATCATCATTTGAGACCCCAGTATTACGATCGTCGGATGATACACAACATTTAGTTCCAGCGATTGAATAAAATTCCGAGTTTTGAGAGTTACGGAGTAGTCTGATAAGCCAAGTCCAGGCTAGCTTTGAGTATTCTAGAAACTATGAACCTATAAATAATACCTAATGGGTTCAGATTCACCCCCCCTCCAAAGAATATAAATCATGCAAACGTCTTCAACCCCGTTGAACAATTTCCTACCTGTGCCTGGGAATAATTTTGAGTTCTCCATCTCTTGAATCAAGCTTCAAACCCTTCACAATTTGTTTTCCATCTTTCAAACATAAGACCCCGTCAACATATAATTGCCCGCCAAATTTGTCATGAATCCTGTCTAAAAGCTTGCTTGTATCAGTCGTGTCAATTAGCATTTCTGCCAACCATTTCCTCTTGGCCCAAGGAGACAGTCGAGGCCAGCTAGTGTTTATCATCCAAGTCCGACATCCTTTGTCTGTCGAAGCATTTCCAGGATACTCTTGATATAACCTTCCATCGACTATTTCACCATTTTCCCTTAGGTCGAGAATATCCTCAAATTCTTCTACTGTTTGTGGTCGTTCTTTGCTCGCTTTGATTGTAATACCATGCAGTTTTTGTCGAGATCCTGCCACTGCTGCTAGACCACGCTCAACCCATTCTAATTCGTCCCAATCCAATACCTCCAATTGTATGAACATATGCCATCGCGTTGCTTCGCCAAGCATTGAAATCCTCTTTTCGAGCTTGGATTTCAAGACAGGAAGCTCCCGCAGTTTCAGTCCTTTATGCTCCCAAATTATTTCCTTGCATTCTCTGTGTACTTGTTTACACGTTCGAAGTATGGAAAAGGACTGCGCAACTTCCATAGACCATGGCGAAAGAGTAATGATACCTTTCGGATCTGCGAGGATAAAGGTGTAAATTAAGTCGCGGATCTCTCGTGGGAAAGTTTGGAGGAAAGGGAGAGTCATGTCTTTATATGCCAAGAGCTGCTTGTATGCTGTCAGTATACGACAGAGGTTTAATTGCAGTATGTCTTGTCTGATGGAGGATTTTCTGCACCTTCAATAGTTGCTTCCTAAAATATTCTCAAATAACGCGCCTTGCTCGGACCTAACAATGTTTCTTCAAACTTTCCAGAAGTAGACTTCAAACGAAGTCGCGGGGCTTCTCGAAGTCGAAACTGCGATTAAACTTGCACTTTTCTTGAGTTGAAGACGGCAATTTTGACTGCTGCCTTTTTTTCTCGAGAAATTCTGGTTACCTAGTATAGTAGCCTCAGAATACTTTTAAGGCCAAAAAGTATGCTTTGATGATACCTAGGTTGTTCTTCTTGTTGATAATCGACACGACCTCTCAATAGCTTAGCTGGGTACCTCACTACCACTGAAATGAATTGTTGCTGCTGGTGTATAACATCTTGCCGGCTGGCTATCATAAAGGATTCTCTACCTTTGGTGCTTGTGGATTTGTAATGGTGCGTGTATTCGACAAAAATCGGCCTTGTGCGAAAAAATGAGGTCTCGATTAAATTGTGGCAGTAAGCACTATGTTATTAACATCACTGGATATACGAACGAAAGGTCGGGTGGTAGTTGATTGGTTCATATGTATTCCATTTCCATACCGGCCGGTACACTCATGAAAATCACTTAACGCGTTAAAACACGCTTTGACCATTGTACGCGTCGTGAATTCATTCATAACTTTCGTTCCTCCATCAACCAACTTGTTCAAATTTTGTACGAAGTAATTAACACTTGGGCACCTTCAATTTTGCTATCTTACTTTGACTGCATTCACAAACTTTGCTTGTATAATTCTTGCCTTGCCTTGTATATTTTTGGTAATTCTTGCTTTCTATCACAATTGCCATCATGCCTTCTGCGGTCAAGAAAAGGAAGGTCGCGGCGCCTTCTTCGAGAAGTGCAGCAACCACCAAGATTCAACCATTGAGTTCCTTTACTACGATTTCCAAAGCAGTCACAAAGGGTGGAGCGAAGTCAATCATTGAAAAGAATAAACAAGCAGATGTGGCATCAGTGACAGTGACCAAGTTAGATAAACCTTCTACAAATTTAAGAAAGAGAAAGTTGGATGCAGAGGAGGAATCGAATGTTATTGAGATAGCAACGACTACGACTACTACGACTGCCAAAGAAGTTGAGACACTTCCATCAAAATCGGTCCTCCCGTCGAAAGTCCCACAAACACCGCACAAACTTATCAAAACGTCCTCGATCACTACCGATACCCCAACAAAAGGCGCGCGCACTCTGCTCGATCGTCTCCTTCTACAAACCCCTAAAAGACCTGTCCAAAAAAGAACTTCTCTTTCGTTACTACGATCTATTTCTTCGAATTCTGGCACGGAGGTTTCGACACTTCCTCTTAAACATCCACAAACTGGCGCTGAAGGAAAGGAGGAGGAAGCAAGTCAACAAGAGGATTTTAAGGAAACATTGCCTACTGAACTCATCGATATTATCAATCTTCACGCAGCACTTCTCACAACGCTCACCCTTCACTGCGCTCACAATGGATCCAATGCACCCGCAGATTTACGGAATCTCTGTCCGGATGTTGCCAGAGCATGGGGAAAACGGAAGGTCATGCTGGATGATGTCCGCCGGGCTCTTGGCGTCCTGAACTCTTATGTCAAAGTTGACGCAGAAGATCAAAAGCTTTCTACAATCACTCTATCAGATTATGGATCCGGGAAGATATGTGTCGAGATTGAAGATGGGAATGGGGGCGGAAAGGGTAACAACTTGAGGCCGATTGACGAAGAAAGACTAAATGGAATATTCTCGCAAAGATTAATAAGTCAGTGGGAATTGAAAGAGGAGAGTGTCACTATTGAGGACTTCATCAAGCAATTACCATCGGAGCCAATCACACCTTGTTCTTCGCTCTCAAAAATGACGCCCCTCCTCGCCAAGGGTCAACGACGACTGGAAGACATGAAAGCCGGCATTGTTGCTAAAAAAGATCTCAGGAGAATGAAATCTTCCCCCGCTCTTATTCAAGCTGCGACTTCTACAGATACTTCCTCCCCTCCCTCCACCGAAAAGAAACCTACACTTCTCGAGCGTCTCCGCGCAAAACAACTTGAAAAATCTCTCCTTCCTCAAGCGCCTTCTCCTGCGCAAGTAGCCCGCAAATCAGCTTTATCAAGAATGGAGGAAGTTGTCAAGGTCCTCAGTATTTTGAGTACGTCGGGATCAGCTGGTCAACAAAGAATCTCTTTCACCATGCCGACTTTAATTGGTAAATTGAAGGATTCATTCAAGACTCCAATATCGAAAGACGAAGCAATTGCCGTTGTGAAACTTTTAGCGGTCGAGATTGCGCCGGAATGGGTTCAATTGGTTAAGATTGGGAAGATGGAAGCCGTGGTATTTGATAGAGAGAAGAGGGTTTTGGAGGAGAGTGTTAAAGATAGGGTTAAGAAAGCCCAAGCTGCTTGAACCTCAAATTGAGTTGGATTTCGAGAATGAGTTTTGGAAAACGACTCTTTTAAGATTTTGTATATCGTATTTATTGGTTGAAAGAGATACCCTTGTTTTGTATATATTAGGAGCACGACGTACTATGGTTCGTTGGTTGAATTCGGCTCGTTGAAGGATACGGGTCACAGAATACAGGATACAGGACTCAGGAGCAATGGACGGGAAGGAAGGGGGAAGAATAGAATTGTACAAACAGAAACCCCAAAAGGAATGAATAACTACTGAACGACCTTTTATTTACTGACCCGTGTAATATCATCAGCGACAGCGGTTGCCCATCACCAGTCTTACGTGCCAAATGTTGTCTTTTGGGCCAATTATCTGCATCGCTTCGGCACCGGCATGTTCATCCCGAACTGAGGCTGCTACAGCGCATCCAAAACAGAGATCTTGTTCAAGTGTCGGCCAAGATCGAACAGGAAAAATCAGGTGAAGAAATTTAATCAGTAGGAAAAACGGACTTTGCCAGGAAACAGTCAAGACATTGTGAATCAATTGGAGAAAAAGGTTTGAATTGAGTAAATGATTTATCTACTCTGATAGACCATGATCGCCAGGTATAATAACATTGAAATCCAACGCAATGAAAACCTCTTGATATCTAATGCTTTCATTTATTCTTTCATGCATCTCATCTATTCATAAACTCCATAGCTTGAGGCAGATACCATTCACCATCCACCGTCCACCAATACTCATTTGATAGGACTCGCCCACTTATATCATCATCATCACACTATCCGCATTTACTCATCATCGTCCGCTCCACCTGGAGTACCAGTCTTAGGAGTACCAGTCTTGGGTGTTCCAGAAACAGGAGTTCCACTCTTCGCACTCGCTGGCCCAGCGGTAGGAGGAACAATCTTAATTGTGGTCTTAACAGGTGCTGCCTTTGCTGCAGGAGCAGGTGTAGCATTCTTCTTTGGTCCACCAAACTTCGAACCTCCAATATCATTTCCACGTAACTTAATACCCAAAACACGTTCCATATTGTTCAGAACTTTTTGATCAGGAGTGGCGACACCCCTTTCCATGTCGTTAACAATCTTTGGGGTAGTGTTGCATAGTTTGGCGAGGTCGGCTTGGGTTTTGATGTTTTTGGCCTTGCGACCATCTTGAATGGCTCGGGCTACTTCCATACCAACGGTCTTTGGCTTTATGATTTCATCAGAGCGGTCGACTTTTGTGAGATGTTGACCTTCTCCCGAAGAACCCTGTTATTTGAATAGATTAGTTAATGGCACATGGCGGTCGAATGTAAGGCTTGTGGAAATAAGGTCGCGGGGTCGCGGGGTAAATGTTAATGATTGAATGGACTCGACTTACAGCATTACCGGAAGCAAATTTCTTCTCGGTAGTAATAGCTCCTCCACTTCTCTTAGCAGCATTCAATGCAGCAGCTCCTCTAATGACAGTCTCTCTGTTTGCGCCAGCTCCTCCACGAACATTCTTTCCAATCTTTGTAGTTGACTCCCAGTCATCCATTTTGATTGATTTTTATGTGGGTATTTGATTAAAAGGTGTTGCCTGAAGAGATAGGATGTTGAATTGAAAGGAAAGGGATTCCGAAATTTATCGAGGGTATTTTGACGCTGATGTTGTTTTATGTTGTAAAAAGCTGAAGAAGGATTGATGACTTCTATTTGTGGCAATTGAATAGCGCTTCCTCTCGCCGAATGAATCAGATACAAAAAGAATTTCTTATGTAAGCAGGGTTAAGTTATGTCGTCAAGCGGTGAGTACCGTAGAAGGGAAACTTTACTGCATTGAGATGAAATGGTATGGCAATATATCCTTGTATGACCTAGACTTTTGATTTCTAAGAGAAGTACACCAATACGTACTTACCCATTGACCATCGTGTATTTTACATGTTCAGACAACTCTAAAACATCATTGCTATTCTATCATACGAGAACCTTGCGGTCTTATATATAGAGGCTGTCCCGTATTACCTTTACCTTCTGTTTCCTTACGATTCGTAATTCTTGATATTGAAAACGCTTGAAAAACAAAAATGCATTATCAAAGAACTCAACATCGCCTCCCCTAGATTTCCAAACCGCGTCATGGGTGTTTCTTATTTTGCATTCACCTCAATCACACTCATTGGGCTATTCGGATCAGTGTCCGATATATCAACTATCTTCGCCTTTTCGATTATACGGAATAGACATTCATTTTCACAATCAATCCAGAAATATGTTGACTTATCAACCATTATTACCATTGCCACGAGCACGAGTGTCCTGTTTTCAATTGTTCAAATTATTCGATATGTCCGAGGGCTTCAGGTAGCATCAACCAATCTAGATGATCAATTTTTAAAACCTATGCTCTTTCCTACGAAGACAAGTCATTTGAGGTTGTTTCCAAAGAGACATGGCTTCTCATACTCCTATCTTTTAACTGGCATACCCATTGGTTGGACAGGATCTTCAGGAGGGATGATTTCAGTCGATGAAAAGAATGACGGACTCCCATGGTATAGAAGATTATTATCCTTACAACCAATGAGTCCTTGGTATGTCGTGGATGGAGATTATTATTTGGAGAGGGGTCATGTCTCTGGTGGATTAGAAGGAAAATTGAAAAAATTTCTTCACGATCAGGTAATTTCGATTTTTTACATGTTCAGGATTCTGTTGACAAAATCTAGGGTTTAAATCATGAAGATTATCCATTTGCATATCTCTTGACGTCTTCTAAGTTTCTTGGTTATCAAAATAATCCAGTTTCAATATGGAACCTTTATTCAAGGAATAGAGAATTGAAAGCTGTTATCCTCGAAGTCAATAATACATTCGATGAACGTCACACTTATTTTGTTACACCAAAAGATGCGGAAGATTCCAAAATAGAGGAACCTAAAGGCAAACCACCAAGGTTCACAAATACTTGGTCCAAGGAATTTTATGTTTCTCCATTCAATTCTCGAAGTGGTTCTTATTCCGTCTCAGCTTCTGATCCATTTTTTCCATCGCTTTCTGGAAACAATCCTCTGGATCTCACATTAACTCTTAGTTCTACTGAACGTCCATTCTTAGTAGCAAGAGTCTTCTCTGATGGCCATGCATTCGACCCATCTACCATGTCGGTACTCGAGAAGACTAAATTTCTACTATCATGGTGGTGGGTAGGATTCGCTACATTCCCTCGAACATTAGTCCAAGCCTCCATATTATTTTTCAAACGGTCCTTACCATGGGTTTCGCGTCCGGAACCAGTCAAAAAGACTATTTCCAGACATGCCGATAAAACTCAAAAGTCTATCGAGGCATTATTTCGAGAATTCTTACAACATCTTATTGAGGTAACGGACCAGCCTTTGGTTTTAGAGTATAGACCTGCTGGGCTTCTTGATAATACACCAGAAATTATGTTTTCTCCATCAGCTCAAATGTCACCGGAATTAGCAAAATCCATGGAAATATCAGTACTTACACCGATTTTCTACACCCAATTCATCAAATATGTCGATATCGTCCAAGGTCTTGAAATGGAATCGAAAAATGAAACCGTATCCATCTGCGACTTGAGTCTTTTATGGACACGGCCTTTGAAGCCAAAGGAGCAGCAAGCAGTACCAGAAAATTTCCATTCATCGGATGAAAATACTCTTACCTGTGTATTTTTCCGAGCAATTCGCTCCACTCGTACATGCTCCCATGCCGATCCTATTGGAAATATTTTTTCGTCATTTGACAAATACATTCTGTGGCACACCGATAATGTCACTTCCTTGTTATACCAGAGAATACTGCTCAAGATGTGGCTTTGTGATTGGATTGCTTTGGGATGGGAAGATTTATTGAATTTCCAATGGTGGTTAGTAAAGATTGGAGGCTTTTGGTGGTTAACAGGAAAGATGTGGTTTGTTTATTTGAATTCATACACTGGCTTGGGGCATTGAAAGCATGATGTTGGGAATAATGTATGGTAGATGCCGGGAATTCGAATGGTGATGTTGAAATACTTGAGAGTTCAACCCTTCAAATCCAGCAACATTCGAATGCTCTCATCTGCAAATTAAATACACAATATACACCCGATCTCAATTACCAATCCCCAGTTCCTCTTTTGCTTTCAAATAACCTGAACATTCTCCATTGATATGTCCCCGTGGATCGCGCAATGTTAGACGTTAGGAACACCAAAATATTGACACTGGAACCTAGCTTGCCATCATCTAGTGCGGGGTGCTGATGCGTATCCCCTTCTCCCAAGACTCTCTCCGCCCAAAAGAATACTTCTTTGACTTTTGTCTCTTTTCAAATAAATGAAGATAGCATGGCCTCTGCTGGTAGTTTGGTACTGGCGGTTTCCATCGTATTTTCCCTCCTCTTTTGCTCTCAAGCAATTTGATCACTGACCCTCCGAATTTCTCCAATGATGGTTTTCCACCAGTCCTCGAAAGTGCCAAGTGGATAAAAGTTCCTCTTTGCCCTAGAACATTTCTAAATGGCTTCTGGGATTCTTTATGAGGGTGTGCGAAAAGATGCGGGAGGATGTGGGAGGATGTTCTACGCATCAAGGTTCATTCACCTCGTCCGTCAATTCGCCATTTTTGTGGGTATTACTGCCTTGATAATTCGACGGTAATGTATCTACTTGTAGCAATAGCGAGTACTTTCTTCAAAACTTTGCATCTGTCTAGGATATCCACCGGCACCCAGCGACCCTTTGGCTTCGCGACCTACTCCCATCTGAAGCCGAAGCAATCGACTCTTTGGACGGGCTTGACCTGTGCTCCGCAGATTAAATTGACCTTTTGTAAAGTTCCTTCGATGTCGCACGCTCAAGTCCCTGTTCTGTGGAAGTTATTTGAGCCTCTCCGAATCGCGCACTTAGAAGACATGGTCAAATCCAATCACCGTGGAATGCTCGCAGCAGGTGTAGTTCTGCCGCCAGGAATATTTCTTCTGTCATTCTGATGATAGACTTCGAAAAGTTTCGCAAACTACCGCATTAATGTTGTCGTGAAATTGATCGGTCGACCGAGTCGCTCTGTGATCTAGTTGCGGGGCAGTCAGCTCAAATGCAATCACTCATTCCATCATTTGGAACGTCGGGTTCTTATGAATTCACCTTGATCAATCCATCTCGCCTTTTGAAATCGTTCTTCGCGGCTATCCACATATGCAATTAAATACAGCATTAGTTATCCGTTGCTTTTTGAAGGCGCAGTGGTGATTGAGTTCGCGCCGAAAGCCATTTTCTTGTGGAGTGGGATCGAGGCGCTAATAAATCCGCAATTTAGCGTGTCAAACGGAGGTCAACCAAATCTTACTCGCAAATAATTTTAAGACTTTTGATTGCACGATCAGGATATCGGCTCGATTTATTCGAGTATCTTTCTAAATATCATGAGTTACGGGATGGGGAATATCCTGATATGATACATCTAGCCTTTCGCAAGCCATAAACACAATCTATTCACGGTCTCGACTGTCCATCTATTTCAGTATCCCCCATACCCATGCGTTTGTTTTCATAGTTCATCGCATTGGGCAGTCGGAAAGAGAATATGAAACTGGGGAATTCAAAGCCACTTGAGGAGTATTCTTAATTTGAAATGGATTATTTGCTGTTTCTTATTTGCAATCGTCTGAACTTTTGACTGGTCGTCAGTGCGATCATAAAGTTTCTCTAGAAACAAATCTGGGGCACATCATGTCGCGGATAAATTTATGCAAAGTAGTCGGATATGCTTTTCGACTCTTCAATATAGTCGTCGCCAGAAGAAGCTTTCTTGGCTAGGAGATCATGGGCTTTGCGTACATTCTACGAATTTACCCCTCGTTGAGATGCTTTGAAATCGCAGCTTCCATCGCTCCAAGTCAAACGTTAGATCAAAACAACAAGTGAAAACAAGACTTTACTATTGTCAGATTGAGAGTAGGTTGCGAAATGTTCTTCCCACCGTGTTTTTAACATTTCTTTCCGTTGCTCAAGCCCATACATATCCAGATATCGCCAACTTCTACCACAAATTTGTCGGAGAAGTTTATAGTTTTGGATCGAAACAGAATTGTGAAAGTTAATCGAACAAGCCAAACCATTATAATCTCAACTTCGTATCAAACGCTACCTAGCCTCAACTGAATATCTTCCGTCGCCTCAAACACGTGTGATTTTATGACGTCCGCATTAAAGTTTGTCTCGTAAACCCTTTCCATATGGTTTCAATACATGGAATCTTTTGACATTGCGGGGTCACAATTTCTAATATATATTCTCATCATGTTCCCTTGTATTTCTTGTTCTGGTATCCCAAACAATCATTTCGCAATCCACTTAATTATACCGGCAGGCAGGTATTACATTTCGAGAAAGTTGACCTTTCTTACAAAGCCTTACACTCATTTTCAATTCCTAAAGAATAAAATTTAAATCGCCAAGATGCGAAGTTCCATCCAGAGCATTTCCTTTCTCCTCCTTTTATTGGGTACCTTTATTCTCGCAAGTCCCATTCAAACCGAAACTGCAACAGTACCATCAGTGCCAAAACGAACAACGCTAGTCAATAAGATGTATGGTCTTTCATCTCGTCAAAAGATGAATATGACCAACAGTGACACCAATCCTAAATCTCCGACAAGTTCTGCTGGTGCTAAATCAACTGGAACATCTACTGTATGTTCACCAGAAGTTCAAGCTCTTGCATCGGGAATCAATTCGAATATTGCAGACCAACGCAATGAACAAAAAGCTGTGACAGCTGTTGGGAAGATTCTCCAACAATCACCTTTTAATACCTCCATGTTTGATGCAGCACAATCTTCTCTTATGACCTTTGTTCAGAAAGGAATCCAAATTCGACAAAACAATCAAAAGATAGCTCCAGCAGGAAATGGTGCCATACCTGGTTTGGCAATTGTAGCAATGGCACAACAGGAAGAATTGAATTTAACCATGAGTTTGACCGCAAGTAATGTGGCTGGTAGTAATGCGACAGTTGCAAAATTGAAGACCGATTTTGCAGGTGGAATCGTACAAAATATGAAGAATTTAGCAGCGGCAACTAAAGGTTGTAAAATGCCCAGTACTACTACATAATTTGTGTTGGTGGGTTTGGTCAACTACCTAGGTAGTCAACAGAAGAAATCATTCATGGGAGACGCTGGTCGCTCTGTAATGTAGCAAATATAATATATATATATATATATATTTGTATACTTCATCTCACACAAAAATTCTCAAAGTACAATTGTTGATCATTCATGCCGCCGGGTTAAATTCTCTCGTTCACGAGTCTCAAATCTCAAACTGCATCATCATAAGAATCGAACAATCATAATCAAAACGTTTCGCATCGCATGTATTTCCATAATTATATCAATATTCTATTCACTTTTGAACATCTATTTGTCAAAGCGTGCGACCAGCAATCAGCAACCAGCAACCAGTCATACATCCAATCATCCATTCAAACAATAATTATCTTCCACTGTGTCAAATCCATTTTCAAACACTTTCCTACCATACCTCTATATATCTCATGTCTACCACCACTCATGTCCATCTCATGACCAGTGAATTTATCTATGATAAAGTTTATTCCTCGAATCTTGCACGTTCAGCAACGTATACTAAACAAATAATGTCAGATAAGCGCACTTTATCCAATTGAATCCGACAACGAAAAGAATTGGGAACTCACACTACAAAATTTAATTCCTCCTCCTTCAACTCCCATACCTGGTGCTACCGTATCAATTTCTCTATGCAAAGCTCTCAATCCCCTGAATTCCATACTCTCCCACCAATCCAAATAAACACTTGCAGTGATGCCCTGCCACTCAAAGATATGCATTTCCACCAGTATTTGACCGATAGGAAATTCTGGTTTCAATGGATCTGGAGATGTAAGTGCACCAGCGCCGCCAGGAAGTGTATAACCATTCAAGGAAGAGAGAGCATTGTATTCCGAATATTCGATATCCGTCTTCAAAATATCACTATTCCCACAAAAATCGAACCATTAGTTTATTTCTTTTTCAATTCTTGTCCCCGAAAAGATTTTTGGCAATGAGGACCAGGGAAATGTGCGGCTTCTAGAAAACTCACATGTAATCATGTCCATTCCTTTTCATCATATCTTGAATTGTAACAAGTCGATTTGCATCATCTGTAGCACTATTTGCTCCATTTCTTTCAAAATGTGCTCTTGCTCTCATTTCTTCCGTAACTTCTTCACCAAAATTAAATCCCGGCACATGTTGATCGTAACCCCAAATTTCACATTTCGTTCGACTAAGTATTTCCGCTTCGAACGATGAATCATTCCCAATACCTTTTTTGATTTGAAGTTAGCCATGAATTTTCAACGTTCATGAATCAATTACTTACCAAAACTATAGACCACGCAAGGTTCTTTCTTCTCAATAAATTTACTAATTCCACAAATCCACCAACCTCCTTCCCCAATTCTTCCAAGTCTTTCCATTTCCCATGGACAACCATAACTTGGAGTAACTAAGTCCCAAATGCTCCAAGGAGTTTCTTTGAAAGTAGTTTCATCCTTGGCAGGAAAAAATCCTCGATCAGGAAAATTATGTCTAATCTCTCTTCTTTTTGTTACTCCTCGTTGATATATAATTTCGGATTGTTGCATGAATGTATTGAGGTTTGGACGTGATATAGGTATGAAATGAAAAGTTCCCAATGTTGGTATGGAAAATGGTACTTTTGATCTGGCTTTTGATGGAACAGCGATAAATATGGCCAAAAGTATTAATGAAGTTAAAAATAATATCTGAACAACATTATTGGATCTCATGATGAGATTGAGTTATTCGTCTTTTGTTGTTGTGAAATCACTTTGGCCAGAAATTTATTGAAGTCACGAAATCCAAATCAAGGGGAGTCAGGAGGAGTAGGAAAAATATTTTGGCCCTTTAGCTTCAGTATTCTTTTCAATTTTATGGCGTTCATGTGTACGTATATGTGGAAATAAAGGGCAGTCGTTTATTTTCAGCCCATTAGATTGCAACCAATAGAATTATAAAAGTTCTGAAGAATGTTTCTGCTTTCTTTTTATGACTCATCAAAACTCCTTGCTTGATTGTGGAGAGACAGTATTTTCGAAGGTCGGCAAATCTAGGAACCTTTGATAGGCGGTTTGAAAAGCATCCTAAGAATTATAGGTGTTCTTGAATTTGGTCAGAGGAAAGGAGAGAATCCTGAAACCTTTAATTCTTTTGATATTTTGAGATTGCAATTTATTTCCGGGAAGATTAGCCAGTTCTCATGAAATGGGATAGCTCCGTGTACCCTTCCAATCGAAATCTATGAATACCCCAAAATGTGAGGCAAATATAGTACTGCTACTGAATAAGTCACTTGATTATGTTCTCTATACTACATGGCGAGGGTTATAGAATTACTCAGATGCTATTATAATAATACAGTCTTCGACTTTCAAAACTACAAAATTCCCAAAATTCTGTTTTCTATTATATTAATAGATTGTTCTGTTTAGAAGAAGCATAAAAATATTATACTATTCTATAAATTATTATTTATTCTTTAACTACGATATATCTTGTTTCAATTGAATTATAAATCAGCTACTAATGTATTTTTTTTGAACTCTTAACCAAACCATACAACTTCCCTCAGTCAGGGCTACGTAATTATCTAATAAAAAGTAATAATAAATGGAAGTTGAGATTTTGTCGTTTTGAGAGTCAAAGACTTCAGAAGAATCTAAGCGAATATGCCCCCTACCCAGACTTCGAAGGCATCGGGAATCTTACATATTGTTCAGAATCATATAAAAGTCTGTGGGGTCAATCAAGATCACTTGATGTATTGCTGAATGAAGTAAAATCGACACGGAAACAAATGTGTGGTTTCGAATGGATGATAATTTTGGTGGTGTATAGATTTCATACATCCAGTCTTTGAGAACATCGCGAATCTGAATTACTTGTCAGAAATATAAGTGAATCTAGCACATTGACGCCTGATCTGGCTCCAATTGAACATTGGACTCGATATAAAAGTCTCTTGGGTGAATGGTATGTAGTCCAGATGATTTAACTCACGACTCACCCAAGATTGATGAGCTCCGAATGTATGTGTAGTCCGACAGTTCCCACGACAGTTCCTACTGTTTGCGCAACCGTATAATCCCTTACCAAAAAGACCTATCTGCGCAGTTTGTTTGATTTACAAGAGTCACTTCAAGAAGTTTCAGAAGTTTACGACCGGTGGTTAAAGATTCCGTTCCTGTCAGGTAACTACCATATTTAACTCCATTGAAGCCTCTACTCTAAGAAATGTTTCTCTAATACTTTAGCACACTATCTAATACTTTATATCCATTTAGGAATTGATTACAAGAAGAGGCGGACCTTACGTGCATCTCTGGAGGGTTTGGGTATTGGCGACATAAATACGCCAATCACTTTCCTCCGATCAAATTTTGACTAAGCATTCTGAGAATCACATAGAATGTTTAATAAGCCATTGAAAGTCGATCGTCAAAGTTTTGTAAAAATCCCGCCACCTCATCATGAGTTCCTTGGTACGATGTGTTGTGTTTCTTGCTTCTCGCTGAGCACTGCCTAGGGATCTCCTTCCTCCCCCCAGTATTTGACTCCGGGTCTTGAGACTTGCGTAAAATGCTTTCTATCTTAATTCAAATTTATGATCAAGGACTCGTTAAGTTGCGCTAGCTGATTATAAATTCCTTGCTAAGTGAGTTGACTGTTCGCGTTGCTTGTCCCGAGTATTGCTCCTACCCCCGATGGTTGGATCGCTCTCTGTCATTTAATTTTGCATCCCGCATACAGAAACTTTCATAAAGTGATCCTTAGCTAAATTGAATTCTATGATCAAAATTCGACAGAGTTGCGCCGGCTGATTATGGATTCCTCATCAAGTGAGTTGACTGTCCCTCTCGCTTACCCCCCATGTCTGAATCTCTTTTCTCTCCCTAATACTTAATTCCGATTCTTGAAACTTGCATAAGATGCTTTTCAGCTTAATCTGATTATATGGCCAAGATCCTGTAAATTTGTGCTTGTGATTTATAAAGTCATCGCTATGTGAGTTGACTGAATCTCTTACCTATCCCCCGTTACTTGAATCGCTTTCCGTTATTTAATTCTGACCCCCGCACTTTGAAACCTGCGGAAAACCTGCGCAAAACGTTCTTTGCGATATTTCAATCGTACAATCCAAATCTTGGAAAATTTCCGATACCTGATCGTTGACCCTGCACGATAATAATTTCCCTCTCCATTTAAATACGCGTTTTTCGAGCTGGTTTCCGAGGATCAGTTGTTTGCAGAGAATCTCTCGATGTAGAGGTTTGGTGTCAAAATGTATTTGATTATTGTCCAGAGGCCTACCCTCGAAGTCCGCATACAAAGAAATGACGTTAACTTTTCTTTAATTGATTCTGAATATATCAATAGTTTTTGTGTTTTCCGCCATACCGTTGTGTCAGGAAAATCTTCGTCGCATAGATATAACTTCAAAGTACTTCATAGAGACACCTAGTCCTCATGTCCATGCCCACAACAATGCCATCTCCGAGAACAGCTCGAGAACAAAAGTATTAACGCTTTCTTTACTTGATTTCTAGTATACCAGTGGATTTCCGAGTCTTTTCAATGTATATTGGAAAACGTGCGCTGAACAGAGAGTTCCATTTTGTCGATTGCGAGCTTGACTTTATCAGGATATCCAAAACAAAGTCCGACACTTAAAGAACGAATGAGAACACTTTTTCATGTACTATCAACATACTGACAAGCTTTCAAACCTTCCCCCCTAATTGTGGAGTGTGGAAAATGATTGTAAGAATTTGCGAGATGTAAGATTTGTAGATATGAAGACCTCATGATGCCTCATTTTTTGCAATAAACTTTCTATTGCGCACATATGAAATCTCGGAAACTATTCTTGGAAGAATTCTCTTTACACTGATAAGATTCTAGATGTTTTCGTTGCATTATTGTTTATGGAAGATGTCTACAGGATATCGATTCTATGGTCAATTCTCTCGACTTCGATTGAGGTATATAGCAATGAAACTTCATTGCGCGTAATAAAAACTATCGGAAAGTAACTTTCATTCGATTTTATATTTAATGAGAAGTTTCTCAATCTTTAAAAAAAAAGACTCTGTGCGTAGAGAACGAGACTCGCTATCGAATAACGATTTAAAGTCATTAATTCCGAACTGCGCAAGGAGTTAACGATTAGAAGATGCTTCAAATCTAACTCTCTATATATAAATCTTTGCGCTGTATTTTCGTATGCGTTAAGATTCTTAATAAAATTCTTGAAAAAAGAGATTCAGTATTTTTGAGAATAAAATAGTAATTTGTTTTATAGAAATAAGTTTTATTAATAAAATAACTTTATAAGTTCTATCTTTAAAATAAAATATTTCTATTTAGAATTAAAAATTCATTATTCTATAATGATGTCTTAGAAACAGTTAGTTTATAAGAAGAATAAATTAATTTTATTTTATACTAAGAGTTAAATTATCTATTAGTCCTCTTCCATTAGTTAGTTATCCTCTAGTATGGAAAAAGCTTAGTTTATGTCACGGATCGGCACCCAATCGCAGTTGCGATCGCTCACGTGCGCATGCGCGCACGTGTACGATCACGTGTACATAGTTGATATATAGGTGCGCTCGACGAGCGCTTTGCTCCCGATTCTGTAGTTGTAGATTCTAAGGATAAATTATACCCTGCTCTCGCAGTTCTTCTAAGGCAAAGCGTCACAGTTTATAGATATATTTTAACTAGATTTTGATATATATAAAATAAATAATTCTTATAAGTTTAGAGTTATTAATGAGACAAAGCTGATAGGAGACAAAAAGGAGATAAAAGATTAAATATAATTATAATTTTAGTGAGTTTTTGTTTTTCTATAAGTATAGCTTTACCATTACGGGTATTAACACGATGTGGAATCGATATCGGGCCGACTATTAGTCTGAAAGCGAAGAGTTTTCATATATATGTAGCTTCAGGAAAGAGGTTTCGAAGAAATTAATAAAAAGTCTTATTCTAGTTCTACACCTATATTTTATACTAGTCGTCATCTTACATTGATTCTAACAATTCTTTTTATTCAATCCCTTTAGAGCAAGTTGTTAATTAGTTTTAGGAATAGCTTCAAAAGCTTCGAAACAACCCTTTCAAAGATTTCACCTTAATTAAACTACAATATGCCTACAATACATTTACAATATGCTAGCGGTATACAATCGATATTATTCAGATCAAGATAACCCCTATCTTATTAGATTGAATTGAAAAAAAACTAAGAAAAGAAAATATCTTTACAATTTAAATCCTTCAAAATGCTTGAAGCATCTTTCACAATATATCATCGCAATACACTGTCGATATCCTTTCGAGATGAAATAGAATAATTGAAAAAAAAAAAGAAAGAAAATATAGAAAGAAAAAAAAAGAATCTCTTTTATAAAACAATCGCAAACCCTACCTTAAGCAATATTTACATTTTCAGTTCTAAGAACTCAATAGAAAGATAGAAGCTCTACTATTTTATAAGATTTCTATCTCAAAAAGAACAATACCCCTACATAGCACTAGGAAAGGGTCTAGCTAGTCATTCCGTAATCAGTTTATTAATTGAAGCCGATTGCAAACAATTGAAATTATATCGAATAGCTTGCTTATTAACTAAAAACAAAACAATATTTTGCTGAAATTGTTTTACTCTAATAGGTAAATACAAAAAGTTCATTTTCGGGGGCTTTCAGGCTTTTCCAGGATTTTCGGAATACTAAGTCTTTTTCAGATATTCCGAATTTGTATTATCTTTGGAATTCCCTTTAGGTTTTGAAGAATTAGTGGGAAGCTTACGAAGCTCCACTATTTTCAGGATTTTCAAACTTTTTTTGGATTTTCTTAGACTTTCAGGCTTTTTTTAAGATTTTCAGAATTTTTATTATTTTCAGAATTTTGAATATTATATAATATCTAAAATACTATTTATTTCTAATTTTATAGGTTTTCTATATTTTCGAAAAATTAGTAAAAAGCTAATAAAACTCCACTGATTTTGGGGATTTTTCAAGAGTTTCAGGATTTTCAGATTTTGAAGAGTTTCAGGATTTTTAGATTTTGAGGGTATTAGTTCGGCTAGCTTATAGAAGTTCTATTATTTTTTCAATATTTTCAGGATTTTCAGAAGATGGAATACTATTTGCCAGTGAATTACTATCGAATTTTAATTTTATACATTTTATATACTTTCGAGGACGAAAGTCGAAAAAGGGAGAGGCAAAACCCTATCGAATACGAATATCGAATACAACCCTTTCGAATACGAATCACCACCCCACCGAGAGCGAATCGACTTCTCTTTTTGAATTTTTTGAATTTTTCAAGGTTTTCAAGGTTTTCAAGGTTTTCAAGGTTCGAATATGGATTGGATTAGTTCTTGGTACTCTTGTACTACAATGTAGCTCTTTTAAAAGCTATAGAAAAGCTGAACCTCATAAAATGAGGATGTAGATACCACAACTAGTTTGCTGTAGGAGTTAATGAGGCTTAGAAAAAGAGGTCGATATAATAGCGATTGGCCATCGAATAGCTTTAAAGCTTTCGAGGATGAAAGCCTAAGGAGAAGGGCTCTATTACAAGTATTGATACAATATGGAATCGATATCAAGCCGACTATTAGTCCGAAAGCGAAGAGTTTTCACATATATATAGCTTTAGGAAAGAGGTTTCAAAGGAATTAATAAAAAGTCTTATTCTAATTCTACACCTATATTTTATACTAATCGTCACCTTACATTGATTCTAACATTTACTCTCTACTATCTTAAGTTTAAGTATAATAGTATCTTTATTAAACTTTTATTATTCAAGTTTAATTATAGCTTTGCTGTATATTATTACGAACTCAATTTTTATAAAGTAATATTGATATACTATTGATTGATTAACATATTTATAGTTAATTTCTAGAAGAAAAACAGGCATTTCTCTTATTAATATCATCTATTATGAAACTTATATTGTCTTGTATTCCTTTCACTTTCCCATCAAATCACTTTTTCTGTTACAACATTAAATCTGTTCTCGTATACAAGTCGTGTTTGCTCAGGTAGGGTCTCTGGCGGCTCACGAACAAGTCATGTCAAAAAGTAACGAGTAAAATTTTCATTTCCCAAATCTCTAAAATCCTTCTTCTCTTCGAAATTCTTGAGATTCATAGATCGTGACTAGCTAAGCCAGTCTAACAACTAATTTTTGCCCACTTACACCCTTCTTGCTAGAGTCCATTGCACTCTGTAAGCCACTGAGTCCACCTTCGACGATTTGAAGTCGAGGGCTTGGTACAATCGACCCTCTTTCTAAGGCAGACGGAAGGAATGTGTGGAAGAGCCATGTTGAGATGTCCCTTCGTGTAGTCCAGACGTTCTCCCCGGACACGGATAGCAGCTGAATATCATCTGGCTTAGCCACGTTCTCTGGCCAGGGGAGCACGTGTGCCAGTTTGCTGCCCTGTCCTCCTGACCCAGAAAGCACCTTGCTCACGGCTGAAAGAGTTTTCTCTTCGGAAATGACGTCCAAAGCATGGCAGATAGGTTGTCCTTTACTTTTAGCCGCATCAATGATGTCTTTAACAACTGTCGGGGAACTATAATCGAAGAGCGTAGTTGCACCGAGCGACTTCAGATAAGAATGGTGGGCTGGGCTAGCGACGGCATATACGTCATAAACTGCTAGATGCGCAAGCTGAATAGCCATAGAACCAAGACCAGAAGCACCACCCCAGATGAGGACTGAAGCAGAGCCCTTCGGTACCAGCCCAGGAGCTGGGCGGAGAAGGCCGAGATCACTGAAAAGTGCGATACTGGAAGTCGCGACAGCCATAGGTAGCATCGCACCATGCTCAAAATCGATACTGTCAGGTATCTTGGCCGCAGATGTGACAGGAACTATGGTGTATGTCTGGAAGGCAGAGTTGTCCAGCTTTCCAGACGAAAAGCCGTCTGCGAAGCCGATGACACGGTCTCCTTTCTTGAAGATCGTGACATCAGGGCCAATGGCTTCTACAACACCACTCACGTCTAGTAAGAAGAATACAGATTAAAATCTCTTCTTGTTCTCGAGCGAAGGATTCTTACCACTGCCAAGAATTGTCGGATAGGAGGGAATTGCAAATCCCCAGTCCCGCCTTTTCCAATCAACTGGATTAACAGCAATCGCATGATTGCGAATCAATATCTCTCCATTGCTTGGGCTTGGGATTGGGCGAGATTCGATAGTCAAAGGGGTCGCAATGGCTGGCAGAAACGCTGCCAGATTTTGTGGCTGCTGTTCAGACATATTGGGCGCCGATTGGGGAGATAGAACTGATTTAGAAGTTGAAATTTGAGAAGCTCCGAGGATCTTGTGGATTAATACGAAGGGAAAAGTAATCTAACGTGATCTTATAACTCAACTACAGCTTCTATATATTTATCTTTAGCCAAGACAGGTGGTGTTGCGCTCGAAGCTAAAATAGTTCACCGCCTTTGCTTTCATCGGTAACCCTCGAATCTTATTATAAAGCAGAGAAACCTTATGATAAAGCAGAAACCTTATTATGAAGCAGAGAATACTAATATCCCCAAGTTCCCGACGCTAAAATAACCGGCGCTTATCAATTAATATTATTAGGCGATGTAATATTATTCAGGGGGATTTAGTAGTATCGAGTCCCCTACTCGTGCGGCCAGAAAGTATATAACTCCGGCGCTATGAAAACCAGGTTAGTTCTCTTGTAGTTTACCATCTTGTGGTATGTACATCTAGCGTCGGAGTTGCATACTTTCTGGCAGCACGAGTAGAATGCGAACATTCGGCTCCCTCGCTTAACAGGGATCTTGGTGATCAATCAGAACATCAGAATACTTGGAATTTAATGACATGTTCACAAATATCGCTATTTCTTTCCATCACAAGTATTTTCAATTAGTGTAACTGCTCTTTTATCATCTTATCAATGTCGAATTGAGCGAGTATCAGAAGTAGACATACCTAGTATACCGCTTATGTGTCTCCGAAACTGATTATATATCTTTTTGCAACAAAGTCGATTGAACTTAATATAATATAGGCTAATGAAGGTATCTAACTCTACGCCTTATTGAGCATTGCAAGTATATCTCCCAAGCCGACTTTGATACTTGCTCTCTCAGTAAGTCTGGACATCCACTCCTTGACATTAGGGTAATCTTCTGGATCAAACCCCTCTTCCTTGCTCACAATCAACACAATAATTACCTGCCAAACAATCCAAGCAAAATCAACGTACGACACCTTATCGCCAACAATCCACGCCTCACCACCACCATTCTCCTTCTTCACTTTCTTGAGATGCCCCTCCAAAATCCCCGTTACGCGATTGATTTCCTTCACATATCTCTGCCTGGCACTAACGACCACATCAGGATGATACCTGTAAAACCAAGAAGCCTGCCCGTAATAAGGCCCTTGTCCTGAAACCTGGAAAAATAACCATTGCTTCGCTGCATAAAACTCCTTCGTCCCGGCCTCGAAGCTTATTCGTTTCTCCACATCGTACTTCTCGACCAAATACTCGAGAATGGCGCCGGATTCCCAAATAGTGAGGTTGGTATTAGGATCCTGGATTGCGGGGACACGGCCGTTTGGGTTGATGGCTAGGTACTCGGGTTCCTTTACTTCGGTGAGAGGGATGGGATTTAATTCGTAGGGGAGCCCGAGCTCTTCGAGGAGAATGTGCACCTTAGGCGGGTTGGGCCCGCCTTTTCCCCAGACCTTTATGGGCTTGATTGTTGAAGCCATGGTGGTTCGGAGAGTGTTTGATACTGCTTTAACTTAAGACTATGACAAGGAACGTAGAGCAGAGTGAAGGATAATGCAAATTGAGGGTGAATGATCTAAGTTCGGTAGGATGAGAATCTGATAATTGTTAGGGAAGGGTGCTGAGAGTGAAGACATATATACTCATTCAATGGAATCCAGCATGCTATGTAAGTCCTTGGGCTCGGACTTCTCGGACTTTGCGTGTTACACCCGCGTCTTGATAGATTAGAGTAGGTCTACAATTATTCAGCAATCCGTTGATTGATTGTTCAGAACTTCAGTTAGAGCGGATTTAGACGCATAAGTCCGTTGTGGGCTAAAGTGAAGATATCGGTATAGATGGAAACGGGGATGAAGAAATTTCTTGGAGGCTTTCTCAAGCTTCGAGTAATTTCACAATCTCTCTACTATACCAGATGAAAGGAATAGGGAATAATACCCCGTACCAAAGTCTGGATGTAGAGATTTATCGCCCAGATATATCTACATATGACTCCCATAGGGTTTGAAATCGCGCGCCGTTCTACCATATATCGTACGTCAATTTAGTAATCAGGCCTTACAAAGTCCCCATCATTACCGGTATCAAGTGTAGGCTCAAATGTTCTCCAGATGTCTTGGAGGTTAGCTCTTATAATAAGAAGGAATAGTATTATTATAAGGATAGTGGAAGATCTAGTCAGTTTAAGCTTGAGGGATAAATCGAATATATAGAATAAGAGTTGAATTTAGAAGAGCTAGGCTGAGTTGAGATGAAATTGCTTTGCTTTTTTCTAGAGTTTCTTTAAAGAATATTCTAGGTTTATATAGTTTATAATGAAATTCCAGTATATTTTATACTTATAAATAAAATCGATTTAAATCGTATTTTATAAAATTACTTTAGATAATAAAAAGAAAGTATAATTAATTAATTTAGTGAGGTTTCCTGTATACTTCTATCTAATTCCATTTCATTCTATTCCATCATAAATCAATTTGATAAGAGATATTATTATATAACTATATGATAATATGATTTTATAATATAAGATTATATGATATGTGTATTAATCATCAATATATCCCTTATTTGATAAGATATTAGTAAGTAATTTAGTAAACTTATTATAAATCCTTATACACCCCCTTAATAGATATACTAAATCAATCTTATTATATATCTTAATTCAGATTGATCTGATTTGTAAATTCGATTAATTTGATTCGAGCTAATAATTTAATAAGCCCATCAGCTTTCTATTCATTAATAGATATATAAATTAGATCTAAATCTCCTAATTTAATAATATCCCTAATATAATAAAATCTGATTACTATATACTTACTTCTTTTATAGAATATAGAGTTTTTAGTAACTGCTAGCGCAGCCTGATTGTTTGTATATAAAGGAAATTTATTTTGTTTATATAGATTAAACTCTAATAATAGCTTTTTAATATAAATAGTCTCTTTAGTAGCTAGATTTATAGTAATAAATTCAGATTCGGCTGTAGAAAGGGCTACTACCGGCTATAGTTTAGATTTCCAACTAATAGGTCTATTCCTTAGTATAAATATGTATCCACTAATGGATTTATATGTATTAATCTTTTTTTTATAATTAGTATTACAGAATCCTTGAATATAAGGATTTTTAATTTTAATATAATTTATACCCTTATTTATAATTCCTTTTAAGTATCTCAGTATTCTTTTAATAATTTGAATATATTTTATACTAGAATTAAACGAGAAACTAGTTAATCTAGACATAGAAAATACTATATCTAATTTAGTTTCGAAAATTAAATATAATAAAGAGTCTATAATTTCTTAATATAATTTAATATTATCATTATTAGCTTTTTCTTTATTATAAATTAGTTTTATTTTTGGATTTATTAAAATAAAAACAGGATTGGAATTTAATATATTAAATCTAGTAAGTACTTTTTTAATATATTCTAATTAATATAGTTTTAGTATATTACTAATCCTTTTAATTTGAATATCTAGATAGTTTTTTATAGAATCTAGATTTTTTAAATCAAAATATTCCTTTAGATTATTAATAAATTCATTAATAATTTCTTAATTTGGGGTTATTATAATAATATCATCGATATATATACTTAGAATTATATTCTTATTTTTATTAATAAAAATATATTCCTTGAATATTAGATTTATAAAGCCTAATTTATTTAATATATCTTTTAAAATATGATATTATATCCTGACCAACTGTTTTAGGCTATATAAAGTTTTATTTAGTTTTAAAGCTTTATTCTTTAATTCATTAAATCCTTTTAATAGATTTAATAAGAGTGGTATATCGATATTATCTTGTGTAAATGTGTGGACAAGGGAATTCATTCAAGGGAATTCACTTCAAAGGATTCACTTCAATACAATGGCAACTGTATTAAGAGTATTAGGCGAAAGCGAAGGAGATTAGTTCTTTCAGTAGTGCCTATATAAGGCCTACTATTCCCCTCATTTAGCTAGCTTTTTAGATTGAATACAAATAAACATTTAGAGACCTACACATAGTGAGAACCACGTCTTCCATATCTCTCTTAAACCAACACTAATTAGTAATATCACAAATTACTTACTTATTCGAAATACCTTTTTACTCTTACTTCTTTTATTTCCATTATAATATCCTAAGCAAACGCTAGCGCTAGCTTTAAGCAAGCTAATAAGAAACCTGATACTAGCAAGAAACCAGTTCTATTCAATCAATCCACTGGTATAGGAAAATATATCGATATAACGATCGATAATACTAATCCTCTACAAGTAGATTTCAGCACTTCTCTCTATAGAGATCTGAATCTGACTAATGCTTCTTTTTATCCCTATCTCATTACTCCCCCTAACCCTTACATTCCTTTTAACAAAATATTAATTGAAAAAAGAAAAGCTCAGGAAATTAAGGATTTAGAATTCAAAGGAGAACTTTAGAATTATACTTTTCCAAAAAATCTCAATAAAATCAGACAATTCTATAAAGGATATATATTCAGATTAAAAACAAAGTATTATATTGATAGATACTTTCTTTTTAGGAAGGCTATATATTCGGATATAGGGATTATTAATATACCTCTTTAGGATATAATCATATTCAATTTCGATTGTACTCATAGAGGTATATTAAGGAATATTGATAAGCTAATATTATATAACTTTTGTACAATCCTATGATATTATAAAGTTTATATTGATATCAATATAAGTATTGAGAATACTCTTATAGAAATATTTGATTACAACAAATATCACAATTGGATTACAAATCAACTCCTAGAATATTAGTTTAATAAAACACAACTATTTGTATTAACGAAATAGGCTTACCTCCCTGTCGGACTTAGTCCAAGACTACAAGCCGAATCTTCCGAACCTTAGGATAATAATACAGCTAATCAACTAACTTTACCAAAACCTAGTAAAATTATAAGTAACTCAATAATGAAAGGATTAACTTTATTTCAATCTTTATTCCAATCTGGAAATACACAAAATACACTTTTACTAGATTTTAAGATTTCATTAATTAATATTCCTGTAGGATTATCTAATAATAATAATGATTCAGATAATAATAATAATAATAATAATCAAAGTAGTAGAAGCAGTAAAGGTAGTAGTAGTAGAGATAGTAATAAAGGTAGTAGTAAAGGTAGTGGTAGAGGTAGTAGAAATGAGGGTTATTATAATTATCCTAATCACTGGGAAGATAATCAATATAATCAGAATCGTTATTTTATTAATTTTTCTAAGATCTATAAAGATAACAATAGATATAAGGATATTAATAATTCCTTTCAGTTTAAGATCTCTATATTTGCAGAATATTACTGTAGAATATTTATATCAATCGAAATAACTTTAACAGCTTTCCTTATTATATTCTCAGATACTATTAAAAACTTTTATTAAATTAATTTCAGTACTTTTTCTAAGATATATGATAATATATATAAAATGATAATCAACAATTTCGAAGAATCTGAATATTAGCGAAATATACTTTTCAAATAGAATAGAGTTATTTTCAAGAATTATATCAAAACGAATCTAATTAAAAAATCTTAGAAAATATTTAATATAATAATTATAGATTTACACTTTATTCAGTATACTATTCTCAGGAATATATACGACTTTTAATTACATTATATTAGAATTTTGTTTATATATAATAATATTCCGGAATATTATTTTGTAATATATAATCCTCGTTTAATTATTATAAAACTTATTAATTAAATTAAGTAAGTTATTGATTCTTATCAAAAAGTATTTTTGAAGTAAAATATATTATCTGAAATATTCCTTATAAATCAATATTTCTACAATAATGGATCTTTAAGCTCCTTCTTTTGAAAATCTTATAATAAATATATTAAATGATAACCTTTCTCTATATTAGCTAATAAGAATAAAAACAATTGTTATTTCTTTAATTATAAAAAGAAGGGCTATAAATATTATAGGTATATATAAAAGGAAAAAAACCGATTTAAAACAAATTATTATATTAAATATAGTAATCTCAATAATAAAAGTTTTATAAAGCGATATAAGCAGTTTGTTATTAATATTGGATAAGAAAATAATTAAGATGATGATAGTAATGATAATGATAATTATTTTATTAATCAATATCTTATTGATATAAATAGTTCTAAAAGGATTTCCAGAACATTCTTTATCTTTATAAGTACTTGTAATAGTTCTTTAGTAACAATTAATCTCAATAATACTATAAGTACTTATAAGTTGATAACTGAAATATTTACTATGAACAATAAATGATATAATATTGATATGTTTTTTGATATTATAATTAATATAGATATAATTAAAAGATTATTTGTCGAATATAATCAGTATTTGATATAGAAGAAGATTAAGGATATTGAGTATAATATAATTATTACTAAATAAATAATAATTCAATATAATATTAAAGTAACGATTTC